AGCGCCACGGGCTCGGAGGACCCTGAGATTTGGTTTGACACCAGAGGCTACAGTCCCTACGTGCAAAATACAAGCATTCTTTAAATCAGTGACTCTCAACTATTTCAGCCTCAACCCAGAGTGTCACATTTTACAGGGTGGCCCAGAGTACCACTTACCTATAAGTATAAAAAAGAACGCTTCTCAAAACAGTTCTTACCGTTGCAATGTGCTGTGTACCCATTATTTTTCATTTCATTCTTTTTCATGTTTAAAACTGCTGGTGCAGCTTATAAATTGATTTCATATAGGGTGTGAAGCATGGTTTGGAAAAAGCAGAGGAGGAAATGTCCTGCAAATGCAGGTAGTTTTAAATCAGGTCAATAACACACATACCAAAGCTTGGCATTAAAGTCACGTTAGTTTATTAACAGTTTCTTAAAAGAGTAACAGCGGACATAAATGTCTAACCACGGATAGTTATTAAGGCAAGTCATCTTCTTGAGAACAGATTCCTGGTGTTAAGGGTCTAGAGTGAACCGAGGAGGGCCCCAAGTCCCCGTTTCTGAGAAGAGAAGTAGGAACTGCCAGCTGGAGAGTCAGGGCCACTGGTGCCAAGAGCAGGCAGGGGTGAGCTCCATGGTTGGAGGGAAGGACACAAGGCCCCTGTGGGGAAACAGAAACTGGACTACTTTTTCAGAAGAAAAAGGTATCAGGGAAACATCTGACAAAGGGAGCGAGTGCGTCTTGCATGTCCCGGAAGAAATGAGTGAACCCAGGTCACCCCTAAATGTAGGTGACCCAGCTGATGTCACTGGGTTTGGAGCTCAGTCTGTAGGAGCCCGCCCTGCCCAGCGGTAGTTTGGTGCAGGCTTGGGGCAGTCATTTCCTGCTCAGCAGAGGGCTTTGGTGATGGCAGTGCTGCCACCCACCCCGAAGTGGCTGGAACATGACACGTGGCAACATGTTTTTGCTCCTTTTCAGTTAAATGTGTGGTGATTTAGCTCCTTGGCAGCTCCAAGTCTTTAATCACCGTGTATAATCCAGGTCCGTGATGGACCAGTGAAGGCAAAGACAGTGACATCCCATGTGCCGCCTGCTAACAGCCATGTGAGACACGTGGATCTCAGAGCTGTGAAACGTGAAGTCGTCTGCGCCAGGAAATGAATGAAACATTATGAAAATCAGGTGAAGTCGGACGCCTTAAGCCGGGAGGGTGGCCCTCTAGTGGTAGCCGAGGTGGTTTACCTGCCGTTCAGAGGAAGTGGCTGGCCTCTCCCTGAGCTCCGGGAATACTTTGGTCTCCCTTCCAGTGGTGGACGTAGAGCCCGGGAGCCGGGAGGAAGGGAGCTTTGTCAGGTGAGCAGCAGGGCAGCCAGGCAGACACCAAGACAGGAAGGGGAGGGTGGCAGGCACTGCGTTACCCAGCACGTGCTCTTGGGAGGGCTTCTCCCATCTGCTTCGGGAGACTTCCGATCAGGTTACTGCTGTCCTGCCTGGGGACTCGTGCAGATGGACAGTGTGCCTTGTCCCCGAGGAGAGCTTGGCTGCTCCTGAGGAGCCTGGGGGAGGGGAGAGCCCTGGATGGGAGGCCCAGGGAGCAGGTGAGGGCCAAAGGCCCAGCTCAATCCCTGGCTGTGGATGCGCCGCCCAGAGCCCAGGGCAGCCCCCCTCTCCCACCAGAACAGTGATGTCTGAGTTTGCACTCCACTGTGTCCCCGGCAGAAATGCAGCCTGCCCGTAGTAGTTTCCCTAAATATTTGCTGGATGGATTAATTCCAGATTTTGGGTTTTCCCTGTGAATTGAGGGCCAGACCAGACATCCGAGGACCCTTGTGGTGGATTCTAGATTCCTATACTGCCCACCAGGATACAGACAAGCGGGAAGAGGAGCAGACTGCTGATTCCCGTAGGCCCTGCTCCAGCTGGCCAGCAGGCGTCCCAGAGCGAGGGGCCCTGTCTGAGTCTGATGGCTCGGTCACTCAGGACAGCTCCAGGTGAAAGCTCATAAAGCCACGCGGCCCGCCTCCAAGCGCCAGGCTCTGTCTACGGGCGCAGCAGTGCCATCTGTGACACACACTTCTCTCCCCTCGATAGCACAGCAGTCCCCGTGCCAGACCATTCCAGGTGATGACTCACACTCACGACGTTAACCAGAGAAAGTTCGAAGCACAGCCCAGCCAGCTCTCCTCCCTCAGCCCTCTGGGGACCGACGTTCCCTGGTTTTGTGCAGGGAACACTGGATGGGAGCCCCCAAAGCTGGTCCAGTTAGCAGGTTTTCTGTTTGCTGTGAGGCTACTGAAGTAAGACGGTGAAAAATTTCCTCATAAATAAAATATCTCTATAGACTAGTGGCTTCCGGGCCAGCTGGTTAACAAATACAGGGGAGAGAGAATGGCTCCGGCAGGAAGTGTGCTCTGCAGTGGCCCACAGCTTCCATGGCTCCCTGCTGCCCCCACCAGGGGCACAGCCAAGGGGCCATCACCTTGGTATTCAGATAAGCCCCCCAGCTCCCGCGCTTCCCCGCCATCCTGCACCCCCACATCCCTAGGGCAGCCTCCTCTGCTCCGCTGTGGTCTGTGGTGCATTGCATCAGTCACCTGGGCGCCCTGGAAAGTGCAGATTACTAGGCCTGCCCTGGACCTGGGGAGAGGGGCTGGGATTTACACTTAAGTCAATTTTAATTCACAGTGAAGTCTGAATCACTTTGTAGAAAGAATTAAAGTTTGGCTAAGATAAATTGTGCATACTGGTTAGTACTAAAAATAGCTATGCATGTTTGAAAATCAAGACAATCTTCAACATTAACATATAGCTTTAATGCATTTCCATTTATTTTGCAATTTAACTTAAGTCCAGGCTATTCACCTTTTCATGCAAACTTAATTTTTAAAATAGTCACTTGCTATTTTACACACAGAAGATTCACAACAAGTTCTTCACCTGGAGTAACTTCAGCGGGCACACCAGCACGTGTGGGTCCGTGAGGAGGGAGGCTGTTGGCCAGCAGTGACCTCAGGTGGCCAACACCCCCCCAGTCCCACAGCCCCCGATCCAGGCATAGTAACTGTGCAGAGACTTTTGTTTTGTTTTTCAACTTTTCCAATACAATTTCTCTGAAAATTAATTTCTAAGGGTTGAAAACCACTTTAGGACTGACTGTTCTTGTAACTGTAAAGGATTTCGTTCTACTCAGAACTTGAGAAGTGGTGAGTCCACGTTTTCTTTGTCAGCCTCCGGACTCAGCAGGATCAGAGGAGAAGCCAGGTCTATCAGCTGCAAGGGCGAAGCGACAGAGGTGACCAGCGCGCCCGCGCTGCCCCTCCCCTCCCGCAGACCCCAAAGGACTGGCTTCACTGAGGACAGGGCTGCCTGCGGCCACCTCCACCACAGCTCACGCCATAAGCTAATGGGTGAACTGGGCTCAGGCCCAGTGCAAAACATCTTGACCATCATGTTTAAGAAGCTGGAGGGAGAAAGTGCCACACACTGCAGACCTCCGAGTTCCTTGAGCAGTCATGCTCCCTCGTCACACGTGAAGCTCTGGGGGATCCCGGAGCGGAAACCCCGCGACCCCGGCCTGGAAGGGCTCCAGGCGGGATTCCTTGGAGGGGCTTGGCCAACTTGAGGTCACACCCCCAGCGATGAGGCGAGGCGTGTCGCCCTTAGAAGCCCCAGTGGCCACTCTCCAGGGTCACCATGATGTGTCTGGTGGACGAGGTCCCAACTGAGACCCCCCAAGGCCAAAGCCAGCAGGGGCCCTGCCACTCCGCACCTGTGCCACCTCGTGGGGGGGCTTGGCCGCAGCCTTCCTGCTGGCGTCGGGGGTGTTCAGCAGGAGGTCGACCAGGGGTCTGCCTTCAGGACGCACGGCCACGCTGGCCTCCGGAGCGTCGCAGAAGCGGGTGAGAGGGCGGTCGCCCCGGGGTGTGCCTGCAGCTTTGGGGGCGATGCCGAGTCCATCCAGCCCGATGTCCACAAGAACCGCCTACTTGGGAGACAAGACTGAAAAGGGATTCTGGCTCCTTTCTGTCAACCGTCTTAAGGAAACGGGCAGGCCTCGCTTATGTCCCATGTGGCTAACAGTTTGGAAACCCAAGGAAGGTGGGCCAGGAGTGGCCAGGTGAGGAGAGGTGCAGAGCGTGAGCACCGACAGCCCTCTCCTCTCCAGCTGCCCTCCAGCCCTGTCCACCTCCCGCCTGCCAGCGGCCAGCACCGGAGCCCCGCTCACACCCTCACTGCTGCCCCGCTCCCCACCTCCCCTCCTTTGAACCCTGGCCTCTCCGTGGTCAAATACGGGAGCTGCGGTTTTTGTCCCTCCTGGAGGCGGGAGGTCGTGACCCCTCCCTTTAGCACGGGGCTGGGGGGACACCCAGGACTGCACGAGTCAACCCCACGTATCCCTTCACCTCACTGGGGGGTGGGTCCTCAGGTGGCTGCGCCTCAGCCGGGGCTGCTTCTGTGCCGATACTTTTTGAAAAAGTAAGATCACTCTTTTCTGGAGAAAAGTTAAGCGCCTGCGGCACGGCGGACGGGGGAGAAAGGCTCCCATCCGGCGACGAGTCCGAGCCCCTGGGAGCAGCCCTGCGGGCGCTCTCTGTTGCTGGTGCGGTTCTGTGGGAGGGAAGGAGAAATCCTATCAGGACACGGCCGGGAGGTGCTAGCTCGTGTGGTGATGACTCGAGAAGGTTCTTTTCAGAGAAGCGTCCAGTGGAGAGCTCCCGGCGCTGGTTCCGGCTCCAGCAGGCGGATGCGTGGTCTCTGAGTCTGGTGTCTGCATAGGCGCCTGAAGGTGTTCGAGAAGGAGAGGGGCAAGGACCAGGTGCAGGAGCCGCCTCTGTCCACGTGCTGTGGCCACGGTGCTCCTGCCGGCCTGGTTCCTCCTGCCTGGAGTGTGGATGGCGGGGCAGGTCTGAATGCCCAGGTCACACACTCCGCAGGGGGGCTGCCCCGTACACCTGTCACTGTGCAGACGCTCTTTGGTGTCTGTGTTTCCCGTCAGTGCAGTGTGCACCCGGCCTGGCCCCCGTCTGCCTGCTGCGTCTCCAGACCCAGGATAGTCTGCTGCCTGGCAGGCCTCAGAAACCTGATGACTCGGAACTGAATTACACAAGAAAACTGAAGAAAGCAACAATTTCCATAAATTAATACAGCATATCTTCTTTTCAATACTGTAAAGGCTTCATAACAACCTGAAAGACAGTAGGATTTCTTTTCTATCCTGACACCTGCAAACGCACAACACATGTCAACAGCACTGACCGTCCATGCTGGGCCTTGTTCGAGTTTTCGGGGCGGCCTTGTGTCTGGCTGGTTCCTCTCCCTGACCTAACACACAGCCTGGCACTCTGTCTCCTCTGCTCTCACAGAAAGACCCAGACACATACGTGCTCGACACCGCCGTGGGTGGGTCCACACACCGGCACCCCAGCCTTCCCCCAAGCTCTGCCAGGGTGACGGAGGATCAGAGGCCCGATGCTTATACCTGGCCCGTTAAGGCTCCTTCACAGATGAAGCTTCTAGTCAAGGAAGCCAGTGACCAACTATACACTCTACCTGGGTGGTTCCTCCCACAGATACTCCTGAGCGCCTGCCGCATGCCGGGAGCTTGTCCTCAGGCCTGGTGACAGGCCGGACAGGGGAGGCTCAGGGGAGCTTCCCCACCAGCGGCGTCTCGGACGACTGTCAAGTGGACAAACACACACTCTGTGTGGGCAGCCAGGAGGTGGGAAATGTGAGAAAGCAACGTGGGGAAAAGGAGCAGCGCGACCAAGTCGGGAACGGGGTCTCCAGAAAGGCCCCTGAACATGGACTCCAATTATGGGGAGGAGACAGCTCTGCGTTCCAGGTGGAGAGGATGCAAGCGCAGGCCTGTCCAGATGCGGCGCAGGGCAGCGCGGGGCAGTGCAGCTGGACACGGGCCAGTGAGCGGGACAGGCGGTGGGGGGGTCTGTTTCTCGGGAAGCCTGAGTGTGGTCACTGCTGACTGAGAGCCTCGAGGCCGAGGGTGCGGGGCCCTCCCCAGGGCCCCATCGTGAGGACCACGCAAGGTCCCAGAGCTCCTGGCACCAGCGCACTGGGTGGCGCGGCTCTGCCTGGAGGGCTTGTCCCGGCTGGGAGGCCCTCGTCTACCCCAAGGTGCGATGAGGCCCAGGCCTCCAGCCTGCACCCAGGATACGCTGTCAGGAGAGAAACACGACAAAGAAGCAGGGCCCTCCCTCTCAGAGAACTACCCGCAGGAGGGCGTGCAGCCAGGCTCCGCTGCGGGGGCTGAGAAGGGGCACGGACCTCAGTCTAGCTAGTTCCCGACAGTGACTTCCCAGTACACGACTGCCTGCGGTTTTATGAATTTGAGATAAACGGTGCAATCTTTAACTCCTACCTCACTGCAGATTTTTTCTGGGGCTCAGAAGACAGTCGCTGAGCAGACACACGCAGGGGAGAAGCCAGGGCCCTGGGCAGGGTCTTAGGGGTCAGCACGGGAAGGCTGGAGAGTCGGCGGCCGGCAGGCGTGGGCAGGGCTGACACGCGTCTTGTACTCACAGGGGTCCACACGCTGCTTACCAGGCTCTGCGAGGCTGGGCCCAAGGACCGTCTAACAGGAGTGCTATGAACAATCCTGGAAAGACAAAATGAGAGTTTTAAGCAGAGATGACTTGAAACAAATCAAGAAAATCTAATGATTCAGCCACGTGCTAGTGCAGTGCAAAGGCCTGTGGTTTCAACATCAAAGATTCAAGCTGGCGAAGCCTGTCAGCTGTCCTCTGAGGAGGGGCGGCGGCGAGGGCAGGGACTCAGCGCTGCCGCCAGCCCCGGGAGGCCGAGCAGGGGCTTCAGTTCCTCTGTGGGCCCATCTGAGGTTCCGATCCAGTGTGACTGCACGTTATAGGTGCTGCCACGGAAACGGTCTTCACAGGAGCCTCTGCACAGGAGATGGAAAGGTCACCTTCTGCTGGCATAAACATTCCCACCAGGAAGTCCAGGCCAGGGCAGGGCCCGGCTGGGCATGTGAGTGGACAGGCAGTTCCCTGGGTCTAAGGCCCCTGAACCAGGTGTGAACACGGGTGTGACCCAGCACACCTGGTGCCTGTTTCTCACGCATCTCTCCTTCTCACCCTGGCAGTACCTGTGGCTCAGGCTGCCAACCAGTCCCGCCCCACTGTTGATGTGTCCTGTTGCTGACAGAGAAGAGAGGCTGAACAGACTGTCATCCTCAACAAGTCAGGGCCCTCCCACCAACGCGGTGCCCGCGGGAGGCCGGGGATGACACACCTGTTGGTTCTGCCACCCGTCGAGGACAGTCTGCATGTTCAAAATCAGTCTACAGACAAACTTTAATTAACATTTACTGAAAGGAGAGTGGGTGGGAGAGACAGGTGCTGGGAGCAAGATGCCTGTCTCTGCGAAGTTCTGGAATCTGTCCCACGTGCTTTACTGCTGAGCACTGGCCACTCCGCCACAAACTCCAGTGAAAATAAACTTAAAAATACAAACAAATGTAATCTTCAAGGTAACCCTGGAGGTAGGAGCTATCTTCCCATTGTACAGGTGAGAAAACTGAGCGGAGAGGAGACGTGACGGGGCCAGTGCCTGGTGGCTCTGGGTCCTGCTCTTACCCACTGTGTGGAAGGAAGGAATCTCAGCCCGGCTAATGCTCCAAGGGAGAGCACCTGGTCCAACCCCATAAAGTGCATCCCAAGTTCACATCCAAGTAAAGCCCAAAGTTGTGGAAGACTGGCGGCCGGCCCGACTGGTCGGGGCAGACCCGAGATCAGGGTCCTGCTCTGCTGTCCGAGCCCAGTGCTTGTCCTGCCCGCCCCATCCAGCACTCCCACCCTGGCGTATGCTGGCACCAGGATCCCGCTCCAGGGGGTCTGAGTGCCCTAACTCCTGCCCTACCCCGAGCTGATGTGCACAGGACTGAGCGGCACTGGGCTGGGGTCCTGCCAATGTGACAGTTCCCGGAGAGCCGATCATCAGAGGGCCAGATGTGTGGATGGCGTAGCCCGCCCACCTCAGCAGGTGGCAGCGCAGGTGGCAGGAGGGCAGCCAGAAGTGGGGCAGCGTTTGCATGAGTGGTCCCAGGTGTGTGCACATGCATGTGTGCGTGTCGTCCCCGCGGGGCACGGGGACACAAGGAGGGGACACTGAGTCATCTGCACTAGATCCAGACCAGGAAGTGGCAGACCCGGGACTCATGCAGGTGGTCCTCAACCCCGGCACATGCTAGGGTCACTGTGAGACCCTGCAGGTGCTGGGCTCCATGCCAGACCAGCTGAATCAGAGCCTCTGAGGGTGAGCTGGAATTGCAACAGCCCTGACAGCATCTCTGCCGGGCAGTCTGGCTGGAGAACTGCGGGTTCAGGGGTGAAAATCGGCGCTTCCACCCCTAGAGGCAAGTCTGGCCACCGTAATCTGCAGGGGATGGCGCAGTGGCTCAGGAGCCCGGGGCTAAGGCCAGATGTGCATGGCCAGGCTGTGGGTCTCTACACTGGAGAAGGTACTTCCAGAAGTCAGCAGGTGCCTGAGTTTGTTCTTACAGTAACACAAGGAAGGAAGCAGATGGTGAGTTACCTCCCCACCGACGTGCAGGACTGTGGCCTCTGCGCCCGGCAGGACTTCGGCGTTGCGCTGTCCGGGGGTTCACCTGAGACGAGAGGACCCAGGGATAAGTCCCTCTTCACCAACCGGGGAGCTCTTCTCTACATGCCTCCGTTCTCCCGAGTTGCAGTGAGGGCGGCACAGGAAGGAGCTGAAGGTCAGACAAGCCCAGAGAGCAAACCTGCCGCCCAGGAGTGAGAGGGGACATGGCCTCCCTCCAGGGGGACCCGCCCCCCGCAGGGCCTTAGGGTCCAACCAGTGGCTGCAGAAGAGGACGAGCCCTCATCTCACCTCTGCCTGCAGCCACTACTCACCTAGACGGGAACCGAGAGCCTTCAGAGTCCCAAAGAGAAGGCAGCGCTCAGTGTGCAACCGGGACAAGTCCCCCGGGAGACCCCCGCCCCCAGCAGCGAGGCTAACGCAGCTGCATGCCAGGCGAGCCCTGCAGAGCCCACCACCACCTTCACTCTCGGGAAACGGACAGCGCTAGGTGGCCCTAAGGTGGCAAACTGTTCACGTCGTCTGGCGACTAACCACTTGCGCGTGTGTGATCCTGGCTGATCACAGGTGACCACAAGCAGGCTGGGAGGACTGAGAGAGGCCCGGCACAGGCTCAGGCTGCAGTGCACATGAGAAGTCACAGACTCCCCCCAGGGCTAAGCCCCCAGGCAGTATCCGCTATGTCCTGGAAGCCCTGGGCAGTGAGGCAGTCCCCAGCCCCAGGGAGGCAGGCAGTGCAGGGGCTCCCACGGGTCCCCTCCCACCCTGCCCCCGCTCCGCGTCTCTCTGCTCTTCAAAGAAAGATCTTCTCCAAAGAGCTGCCCATATGTGCTTGTCCTCACCTCCCATCTCCTGTTCTGTTCAAAAGTTGATCTTATCAAAGCAATTCATGCACCAAAAAAAGCCCAAAACATAAAAAATGCAGGGTGAAAATCTGGAGACAAAGCAGCACACCCACCCTACTTCCAACCTGCTTGCTTCCTGTGGGGCCACCTTTGAATCTCTAAGTCACATGTGCTGCTACTTCTCGTTCTTCAAAACCTGCCCAGGTCCCGACGAGAGCCGGCCCCCTCCGGGGCCCATGCAGACCTGTGCAGCCGGCCGCTGCGGCTCGCGGCGTTCTGACAGCTGCGTCTATGGACACATGACGCACCTCCTTCCCGGGGCTCCCACCCCTGCCCCTACCCGAGGTCGTAACTGCCTCCGTCTTTTGTTTGTTTCTTATTTGGGCGCCTGTGACTGAGGGGCCCAGAAGCTCTGTCCCTGGGAGTATTTCCAGGTGGCCCCCTCTCGGGCACCGAGGCCCTGTGCTTCCCGAAGATCTCTCTCCGAGGCCAGGCCGGGCCCTGCATTCTCACCCCATCCTGGGCAGGGTTCCCCCTTGCACGGCTGCCCATGTCTTCCTCTTCCCGGTGTCCTCCCTCATCTCGGTGGCGCACTCCTGGGGAGCCCCCACAAGGTGCATGGGAGAGTAACGATTTTTATGGAATTTCAGATTATTAAAATACCTGTATCACACCCTACAATCAACCAAGGGTTCGTCCCTCTGCCTTTTCTAATGCCTCCCGCCTCCTCGTGGCTCACATCTCAGCCGTGTCACCTCCTGAGGGGAGTCTACCCTGACCATCTTGGCTGAAAGAACCCCACTCTGTAACTTCTTCCTCATCTTCTGTTAGTCACTTCCTCGTACTTACGATCTGGAAGTACACTTACTTGACAGCATTTCTCATGTTTCACTATTAAAATGGAAATCCCAAGAATAGGATTTGCCTTACCATTACATCCCCTGAACCTAAGAGTGCCTAGCACTGGGAGACACGCAATGGAATGGCTCATTCGTATATGAGCAGCAACTCCAAACGAGGTTTGCAGGTGTTGAAGGCCGCCTGCACTAGCCAGCGATGCTGATAACTTTAAGATACTCAAGCCGCTAAGAAACAAGCTTGAAAGGAGGCCAGAACTATCCTCCCCCTCAAATCAGCTCCGTACAACTCTCTGCATTATACACACTGACTAATTTACCTCGACCAAACACGCCACCTCCTACCTGGCAGCCCTGTCGGCACGCCAGCGCAGGTGGGGAGAGCCCGAGGGGAGCCTGGCAGTCTCACTGATTTGAGGAGACAACGATCAGGGTTTGGGAGGCTGCACAGGCTGGAATCTGAGGGGCAGAGTGTTAAGAGGAGGGAACTACAGAGAGAGAGAGTGCTCTAGAAATCCGAGCAGGACCCCGAGTCCTTGCTGTGTAGTGAGAAGCAGCACGAATGCAGGGCAGGGCTCAGAAAGGGGCAAGAACCAGCACTGGGAACACGTCCAACCGGCCGGAGCAGAGACCTCAGGGACGCACAGCACGTCCAGGATGGAACTACCCCAAGAGCACAGGCCCGAGAGCTGCCCCGCCAAAGCTTAAAGAAGCCTTGAAAGGACCGAGGTGACGTGAAATTTAAATTCCTGCCAAAGCAGAATTCAACTCCTTAAAGACAGACAATAAAATCCAGACTTTCAAAAATGTACAATTGATGACGTCCAGCAGACAATAAAAAGCCATTAGACACGAGGAAGCAGGAAAATGCCACCATCACCAGGACAAACGAGGCAAGAGAAATGGAACCCAAATGACAGGGACGGTGGGATCAGAAGAAGCAGACTTACAAGGACCATTATAATACGTTCAGGAATTAAGAGGAAAACACAAACACCATGAGGACACAAACGGGGAGATGCCAGCAATGAAAAATTAACTGGGCAGACGTAGCAGCAGATTGGACGCATTGCCGAAGAAAAGACACATGAACCTGCAGACGTGCCAGGAGGGGCTGGAAGAGAGCAGCTCGTCGTGCCCTAAAAGACAGCATCAGACGGTCTGTAACACAGGCACCTAGAGTCCCAGGAAGTGTGGGGAAGCAAGGAAAAACATTTGAAGAAATAATGGCCACATATTTTCCAGATCTGATAAACTCACAGATCAGAATAACTCCAGAACCCCAAGTAGGATAAACACAAAAAAAGCCACATCAAAATACATAGTAATCAAAATGCTGAAAATAACAAGAGAAAAACGACACGTTACGGAGAGGGAAACTTAAGGTAAGAAATTCACTGACTTCTCATCCAAAGCAGTGCAAGCTGAAGACAGATTTAAAGTGCTTTAAGAAAAATAAAAGTGAAGAAACGACCATCACCAAAACTAGTAATTTTTTTAACTTTAAATATAATTTGTTCAGTATTTTAAAAACGCATTATAATTTATCTCTTACCAGTAGAAAACTTAGGAACTTTAAATCGGTGCGTAGGGGTAGGCATGACCTTTGTCTTGGAGTTCAGACAGGAGTCGCGCCTCCTTGCACTCCCAGTTTTGTTCATTTGGGAGGAGTGTGACCAACTGATACAGGAGCTCAGCCCGGGGCCTCCCCGTTCTGGAGTCTGGGGTTGGGTGAGAGCCGCCCTGGTGGGCTCCCGGGGCAGCTCAGCGGGCCTCTGGCTTTGGCCGCAGGGCCCGCCCCCGGGGCCTGCCTGCAGTGACAACCGCGGTGCCGCGAGTCCTGTTCTGCCCGACTGGCTGGTGTTTGCTCGGGAGCTGTCTGCGGGAATGCTTGGAAGGTCACTCGCTTTAGCTGGAAGAGGAGACACACGAAATCTGATTATCACCCAAGTTGATGTTATTTCCAGATTATGACGTTACTCAATGGCACACACAAAATATGCTGTCTTTAACATCTCTACCTTAAAATGTAGAAGAAAATGATTTATTTCCATCAATTTCTATCATGGTGATTTCCATGTAAGGAAAACACATGAGCAATATTCTGTAGGTCTGCCAGGCAACGTCCTCTAACCCAGGACGAGCCGGGCCGCTCACGGCCCAGCTGAGTGTGCTCCAAGGCGCTAATTCTAGACGCCAGCACCGAGACTCACGTCAGTACCCGTGAGTTCAAGCTCTCCTGTCTTCACTGATGCCGACACAGAGGTCTACCCTCGCTGAGCAGATGAAAACTGATCATCTAGTCTCACCCCACCTGTCCTGTCAGTGGGAGGGGAGGGACAGGGAGAGATGACACAACCCTTACCGGTCGGTTCCTGTAAATTACAAGCAGGTTGGGTCATACCAACTACGAGTGCTATTCAAGTCAGAACTGCGGATAAAGTAGGGCAAAAACACTCAGCTGCCAACACGCCCAGTACAGAAGTCAATCTGGTGAAAGATTCCTGGAGAAGACCTAAGAGAATGAGCACTTCCACAGCTCCGGGCCCCTGCGGGCAAGGGCTTCACACGCCCGCCCACACGCCGCAGCTCCCGACCCCCGTGATCCCACTGTGGACAGCAGAGAAACGCACACCCCCCAGAAGCCCCACGCGGTCTGTCTCGACCCTTAGCAGAGACGGGATCAGAAACTAGTGAAAACGGTGCCAACGCTCTGAACCGACATCAAAGCCGACCTCCCAACACCTAACGTGCCAGAACTTCTCTTCACTGAACACACGCCGCGCACAGAGTCAGGGCTGGGGCTTCATGTGGCCTCCTAAGGCCCACAGGAACACTGAAAGGACGTGTTTTCCCCTCAGTTTGTAAAGATAGAGGAACAACCCAAGTTCTTAGTCGCCACTGGCAGTCAGGATTCCAAATCAGGTCAGTCTCATTCAAGAGCTCAGACTATTCACGTCTGTGCGCAAGATGCACGCCGTGCGGCCTGGCCTGCAGTCCGAGTCCACGCAGCAAACAGAATTTGAGGAGGGTTTAGTCCTAACAGCAGGCAGTCGAATGCCTCCGCCCACAGCCTCCCAGGCTCTCTCCCCTTCACCACCAGATGGCACCCTTGGCTTGCTGAGATTAAAGTAGCCTGCCCTTAAACCCATTTGAGGGCGCAGATTTACACACACTCAGGAGTTACACGGGTCCCGTGCCCTACACCATCTAGAACAGCCCGATTTTAAAAACCTATGTCTGGTTCCATTTCCATGGAGGCTGGTCCCAGCGTCTCTCTGGGTTCTCTGGCACCTTGAGCACGTGTCCCCTTTGTGACTGCTCGTCCCACCCTAAGACCGCCCGTCTGAGTGCCTCTCCTCAGGAGAGGAAGCACCTTGGGTCTGGGAATCGGAGAAGCTCCCTGCCCCAGACCCCCACAAGCCTTCTGGAAACTTCTGCCGAGCTCAGTGGTTCTGTGAAGATGGTCTGTCAGGAGCGGTCAGCATTCGGGGCCAGCCTTACCTTTGCCGGCTGCTGGGGAGGCACACACGCTGGAGGTCACACCCGAAACCGACCCCGCGGAGGCGGCCTTCCCTGCGAGGCTGCCAGCACACCCAGGCAGTTTCAGCACGGTCTTCTTCCGCCCCAGCTAAAACAAAGATTTCATTATCTACCCATCACGTTTTTCTGCAAAAGTGGGTTTTAAAATTGCCTTTAATATTTTACAAAGTATCCTAACAACTAGTTTATTTCAATAGAATTTTGTAAAGATGATCTAAAAAACAAAGACATACCATTTTCTTGGATTGGAAGACTCAATATTGTAAAAAATGTCTATTATCCCTAATTGTATTGGTAAATACATTAAATGTACTCGCAATCAAAATCCTAAAAAAAAAAAATGTTTACAAAGTATCATCTGGAATTTAAAGGTCAAGCCGTACTTCCCCGCGCAGCCTTCAGAGCCCTGCACGGAAACCCCTGGGAGCTTGCTGAGCCGCAGGCTTGGGGCCTCGCCCCCACCTGCGGGGTCGGTAGCTGCAGGGGCCAGCTGTGGCCACCTTAAGTCCCACCAGCGATTAGGCAATTTTCCCAAGTATGCACAGCTCAGTCTGACCATCACCGCTGGAAAACAAATGGCAGAGACGTGGACAGCAGTCCCCACGCCTGTGAGGAGCTGTGGTTTTCACAGCGCGGTCCACGTCCCATCTCCTCCGCGCTCGGGCCCGGTGAGGGGAGCAGGGAGCATCTCCGCCGTCAGACCCCTCACGCGGGCCAGGTCTGCGTGCACTTCGCCGAGCTGCCTCTCCTGGGTCCTGTTTTCTACCTTCCTGACCTTGACTTTCATCAGAGGACACGTCCCACATATACAAAGCTGCCCTTTCTCCCTGCCACCACCTACAGGCCTGGCCAACCCACCTTGTTTGGAACAGGGAGCGAGCGCTTGCCTTGGGCCAGGTGGCTCCCACCAGCTGGCAGGCTGGTGACGTCGCGGGCAGCACTGGGCTTGTCAGGGGGCACATGGCTGTGGGATTCCTTCTCACTTAGGGTCTTCATCCTTGAAGGACTGGCTGGTTTCTCTTTCACGGGCTGAAAAATTTTAAATTGAAATGTGAAAACCGTCTAGTCTTCAACAATGTACGGACACGCTAAGGCTTGGATTAGAGCAGCTGCAGGGACTGTCTACCTTCCCAATGCACGCGCCTCAGCTCATCAATGCTTCCTCCCACAAATGACCAGACAAAAATGACGACAGCGTCCGCTTCCTCATTAAAAACAGGGTGAAATAGTACCGAGACAGATCCCTGGTAGGAGAGCGAGCCTCTGGAGCTGACGCACACAAGTCCACTGCCACTCCCCAGGACAGCTCACCACTGCATGCCCGGCAGGAAGCCATGTCACCAAGCCACCCCAGCCCAAGTCCACACCCCCACCCCGGCTGTTGCTGCTCTTCCTGGACTTTCCACTCCTCTGGCCCCAGGGCCCTCCGAGTAGCTATTTCCAAGTTTCCCCCCATCGTGGTTTCTGCCATAACCGAAAGGGCTCAGAACAAAGGAGCGGCTGGTCCCCTAGATAAAGGCGCTCGTGTGTGGTACCTTCTCTACGGCCAAGGGGATGCTTTTTCCTCTAAGAGATGAGGTGCGGGGTGGTGGCAATTTGCTGGGGACCTTCTTCTGAGTCACGGCCTGGTTCGGAGGGTGAGCAGTACTCGGTTCCACTGACAAAGAAGAACTCGGAGCGGGAGGTGGCCCCTGCGTCTGGGTGAGGCTGCCCCGGGCAGGAGCCACCTGCAGGGCCACGGCCGAGGTGGGCTGGGGGCCCGAGCGTGACAGACCCCGCAAGGGGCTGTCTGACAGGTAGTACGTCTCCCTCTTAAGTGACTTTGGGCTTTTCTTTGTTTCATTTTCTTTCTCAAAGAGGTTTATTTTTAATTGTGATTCTTGTATGAATCCTTCCACTCCCTGGCTCCCGGGGTCTTCCTGTCTGGCAGCTGGGGCTGCCTTGTTTCTGCTGTGGCTTTGTATCTGTAAGGCCAGTAAGTGGGCTTCTTTATAAACTTCCACAAATTTTTCCCCAGTGAGAGGACTCCAAGTGAAGTGACTTTCAGACGCTGGCAAAAGAGGTTCTTCAGGAATTTGATTATTTAATTCTAAGCTGGCAGCGATACATCTTTCTTTATGTCCAACAGGGCCAAAAAAGACTTCATCATCTTCATTTGCACTGTTTTAAAAGAAGAGGATTATCAGTAACACTGGCATTTAAATGAAGGACTTTCCCAAAGCAAAGGAAGGAAACTCATTCGTTTACCTTGAAGAAGACAATGAAAGATCGAAGTCAAACTTTTCATCAGCCAAAAGAAGAACATCTGAGGGGGAGAAAAGTTACCCATTATTTTAGGCGTGGAGCTGAGAGCACGAAAACAGTGCCAGTCTCTGTAGCTATCAAAACTGTCTTACAATTTCACTTCCAAAAGTGTGAAGGAGCTCTAGATTTCCTTAATTTTTCCATTTTCTTTTTAAAATAGTGTCAGCCATTCTGTGTTTGCTAAGCTGCCACCAAAGCCTAAGTCCTTATTTTTAAGCCCTTGTTCTCAAGATATAATCTAAAACATATTCACCAAGTCATTCAACTAGCTTTGCAAGACTAGGTAAGTCGTTTCCTGGTATAGAATGTTTCCAAAAGACCCCCTGTCCCAGCTCCCCTAGGATTAAATTCCCCGCTTACAAACCACACCTATTCCTCTTTCAAAGATAAATTCAGTATTATTCAAATGCACAGCAGTGGCTCCATACATACCTGTTGACTGTTGTCTCTTCTTGGAGCCTGTCCTGAGCCCCCAGATAAAACTGCTCTCTGTACCTGCTGACTGCAGTGCCCTCACCAGCCCTGAGTGGTCATGAGCCTGACTCCCACTAACAGACCACACAGGCTCTGGGTTGGTGGGCCCCTCTGCTGGGACAGCTGCTCCCTCCTCTATCTCCCCCAGCCCAGCCCACCCCACCCTTCCCCAGGGCCCCCGCGGCACCTGGACCTGCCCTCTGCCTTAGCATCGCTACTCTCTAAATGTCTCTTGACCGCCTGTAGCCCCAGCGAGACCATGAGCTCCTCTAAACTGAGTGCAGATGCCTGATGTCCCCCCAGATTCCCCACGGCCGGCCAAGCTCAGGGCCTGGACACTCAGCAAGCGTCTATCACAACGCAGTGGGCTGGCATTTCCACACTGTAGCGTTCGTGCAGCACTTTCACAAGTCTTATCTCATTTGACCCTAATAAACACTGCAGCACGCTTACCAAACCATAAAAAATTTAAATATACTAATAACCGAATTGGGTCCTAATTAGTCATTTAATTATTCCTAATTACCTAACCAAGGAAAAGGTAGAAAGCACAATTACACAAAAGAAATAAAGAGAAATAACCAGAGAGAAGGAAATTAAATTATTCATGAGCTAGTGTGCTCAACTCTGTGCGTATAAACCCCAGACCTTGGTTGATACGGATAATTTTCTAGGAGATAGAATTTACCTTTTGTATTTAAATGATTAAAATTGATTTACTTACAAAACTGACTCCAGAAGAGACGAAAAAAACTCAATAGTTCAATTATCATAAAATAACTGGAGACATTTATTAAAGAGCTATTCTCCCCCAAAAAGCACAAGTCCCAGATAGTTTCATAGGATAATTCTAGTAGATCTTCAAAGAATATATCAGTCCAAAACTATTTATGTTGTTCCAAAGGATGGAAAAAAGAAACCTTCCAACTTACTTCTATGAAGCAAGTATAACCATACCCAAAGCCTGTAAACTTTGCTCAATAAAGGAAACTACGGACTTGGCTTATGTCAGCACAAAAATCCTACACAGGAATATCTGCGAACAGACCCCAGCAACACATTTAAAGAAGGAGCAACTCCATCACGACCTGTGAGGTTCAGCCACGACTTCGGGACTGTAGGATAGTTTAGTTTTATACGATCTAGTAAGATAATCATATGAGAGGAAAGCCGTACAATCTGGTCTCCACATACACCAACAAGGCACGTGGCAAATGCAACATACATTGTTGTCTTCAAAATGCTACATAAAAGTGGGGACTGGTCATAGCTCAGTGGTAGAGCACTTGCTTAGCTTAGCATGCATGAGGTCCTGGGTTCAATCCCCTGTACCTCCATTAAAAAATAAATAAACAAAAATAAATAAAAATGCTACATAAAAAGTAACAGACATATTTTATCATATAAGGAAGTATCCAAAACTAGACTTCATACGATGCCATCAGAAGCACTCCTCCTAAACTCAGGAGCAAATACATTTTATCAGTTAGGATAGACTAACTCATGCTGAAGTAACAAAACAGTGGCCACATCTCAAGTGGCTTGTCACAACAAGGCTGATTTCTCACTCAAACTCTACATCTGCTGAGGGTAGGCTCGGCCCTGTTCCATGTCCTTCTCCCTCCAGGACCCAGGCAGAGGGAGCCTCCGCCACTGGAAACGCTGCTGGGCTTCACGGCAGAACAAAGGGGAAACAGCACATTCCACACTGCTTCTTAAAGGCCCACGAGTGACACACATCACAACGTCACCATTTCATTGGACATATTTCAAGTCACCTGAGGCAAATCCAACTTCAAGTGGGCAGGGGAGTTCAATTCTACCATGTGCCCAGGAGAAGGAAAACAACGCGGAAATGCTGATGGCCGCCATCTAAGCGTTAAGGTACCAGAAGCCCACGTCAGGCTTCATGGTAAACTAAAGAAATTCCTTTAAAGCCGGGCACAGGGCAGTGATGTTCTACTGTCACACATCTTAACACTGTTCTGGATGCATAAACCAATTAGACAAAGGAAAGAATTTGGAGGTAAAATTACCATGGTGCACAGATGCTATGATTACAGACACAAGAAAAATCAAGAAAATCAACTGAAAACTATTATAAATAGTAAGAGAATAAAAGCAAACGGCTGAGGACAAAATTAATACACAACGATCGACAGCTTTCATATCCACAAAGAACAGAAGATACAATAGAAGAAAAACCTCATTCGCTGTAGCAGCAAAACAACACAAAACACCCATGAACAAACCGAACAAGAAATACGCGGGATGGATATAAAGAAAGCTTAGTAATCACAGAAGTAACACATCAAATAAAAGGGGGAAACGGATTATTTAATAAACGGTACTGAGATAAATTAGATGACCCTTTGGGGGTAAGAATGTACATATCTAAAGTTTGATCCACACCCCACACCATACCAGGACAAATTCTAAATAAGTCAAAGACTTAATTGAAAAAATGAAACCCTTAAGGAACAAGAAACCATGGGGAAATTATCTTCTAACCTGGAGTGCAGAGGTCTAACTATGACACCAAGCTGGAAGCCATGAAATAAAAGGTTGATCGTCCACAAGATAAGACATTTAAAATCTCCGCATGGCAAGAATCACCATGAGCAAAGTTAAAAGGAACAACAAGCAGGGAAGAGAACATTCGCAGCTCACATCACAAAGGGCTGTAAGAAATGACGAAGGAAGAATGGACAGAGGGTACGGACAGATAAAATGCACAGAAAATAAAACGACATGTTCTTAAACATAGGACAAGAAATGCACCCTCACCCAAAAATAAGAGAAATGAAAAATTCTAAGATCCCTGAGCATTCCACTTTCACCCGTAAGACTGTAAGAAATCAGAAAGTCTGACACACTGCAGGCAAGGCTGTGGGGAAAGAGAGCGCTCATACGCTGCCGGGGAAAGTGTAAATGACTACGGCCCCACACGGGTAACCTGGCGGGACCTACCAAACAGGAAACGCACATACCCCTGACCGGAAGTCTGCTGCTGTCAAGTATCCCATGTTATGTATTGCAGCGGCAGCGTTTGTAACAGGAAGACACTGGACACAAACTAAATGTTCACAGACAGCAGGTAAGACCACAGCACAAGCCCACAACAGAATGGAACCCTATACAGGCACAGAAAAGAACAGTAACACTCTTCATATAGTCACATACAAAGATCATCAAGATAAACTGGGTGCAAAAAACCAGGGGCAGGACAGAGTTCTCTGTGCTATAAAAGCAGACGCGACTGACACCGTATGCATACTGGTTGACACTTGCACAAGTTAGGCCTGGAATGCCCGAGACGGATGAGATCGGTGGCCTTTGGAGCGGGTAACTGAGGGGCTGAGGGACAAAGTGGAAAGGGAGACAGACATTTCACTTTGTAAGTGTCTGAACCTAGGAAGTCGATTTTGTAGGTCACTTCTAGAAACTTCCAACTGTCTGCTGTGGTGAAAGGAATCCTGGACCAAGAGTCAGGGGAAAAGCCGTCTATTCCAGGCCCCATGATTGGCTCAGAGTGACCTGGCCTGGCTGACTGGTCCATTCTGCAGACACGTGCCACGTCCTCCACCAGGTGCCAGGCGGACGGGTGAAGGGCACTCCCTCGGGTGTGCACTGTCCGGTGGGAGCACTGGGTGGAAGGCAGTGTGGTGAGGCCCACGTGGAGGTGGGGCACCTTGGAGGAACTGGTCATGGCTGGAGGGGGTGGATCAGGAGGGTCAGCTCCCGGACAGGGTGCAAGACACGACAAGCTTTTGTTTCACCCAGAGTGTGACAGGAGCTACTGAAGGGTTTTAAACAGGAGAGTGTTATGCTCTAACCTTTGTTTTCAAAAGGTTGCCCTGGTGGTGTGTACAGTGTATCGGAAAAGAAGGAAGTGATATCTATTAAAATTACAAGTGTATACATTGGCCAAAGTGCAAAAAATACAAATAGGTGGAGGTGAGTTGATATGGCTGAGACCAAGTTGGTGGTATTTGGGTGGAGGTACAAAGAGGTAAATGGATCCAAAACATAATCTGAAGGTGGAAAGAACAGTAATTGATGATTGAATGACTGTGCAGCTTCACAACTTTCACAGCTGGATGAATGGAGGGGCAATTCACTTCCATCAGAAAGACAAAGAACCGGCTAAGAATGGGGTGGGGGGGGGGCCTGCTGAGTAAGAGGTGGGAGACATCCACCTGAAATGCCAGTTAGGCAGGTGAATACACAAATCCAGAGCTTAGCGGAGAGGCTGCACTCAAGACAAAATGTGGGCACCACCATAAAACAGAAGGGATTTACAGCCATGGGACTGTCTGGAGACCTGTGTGTGTGTGGGCGGGGGGCGGGGGTACAAAGAGACCCCCCGCCCCAGACCAGGTCCTGGGGAGATCAGCTTCAGAAGATGGGAGAGGAAGAGAAGTCTTTAAAGAGATGGAGATACACCAGCCAGGGAGACAGAAGGAAAACCAAGATGCCTCAGAAGCCAAGCAAGGAAGTTTTCAGAAGGAGAGAAGTTCAAAAGTTATTGAGAGGTTGATATCAGAGGACAGAAAAATGACAGATCTGGCAACACAGATATCCTCAGTGACTGATGAAAGCAGCTTGAGCCAAGTGTGAGGGCAGAGGGGGTGGGTAGGGGTTGAGCGGTGTGGAAAAATAATAGCAAAACAAAAGGAGAGGACTCTTGAAGTCTGGCTCTGAATGAGGCACCAAGCAGTGGAGAGGGAGCGGACAACAACAGGACGAGTCAGACAACAGGACTTATCCGTATGGCAGTGATGAGTGTGAGGTAACAGACCAGCAGAAAAATCACGTGATGGGAGGGTGACAGGGGTGACGGCCTCAGGAAGCAGCAATGAGGGTTCAGCACACCCGGGGAAGGGACTTGAAAGGGAGGAAGGAGGAGAGGGGTGGGGCAGCAAACACCTCCCCAGACACGATGAAGCAGCACCAAGGACTGGCAGCGTTAGGACAGTTTCTGCAAAACGGAGACGTTAAGGATACCTAATACCTAGTCTACCTGCCTCACACGGGTGTTGTGGAGAACAAAAGATAAAAGCATGTCACCATGCTTTAGCAGAAAAAGAGGGCATGGCCTTTAACGCATCTTGTGAGGCTGTACCCTCCTCTCCACACTCAAACCAGACAGGGACAGAACAAGACAGCAGAGCTATAGGCCAGGCTCACTCACTAACATGATGGCAAAGATCCTAAACGAGGCTTAGCAGACAGAAACCAGCCACAACCCAAAAAAGGAAGCATCAAACTCAATTCCACAAATACCTGAGTGCCTACCTCAGGCACTGAGGACACTGCAGTAAACAAAACGGTAAGAATTCTCTGCTATAAAGGAAGTTAAAACTGCGGGTAAAGAGGAAATAAAGAAGTTAGACGGATGCAAACTCCTTGAAGACGGGGACCAGGAGTTTCACGGGAAACGAGCAGTAAGTCGCCCTGCATCTTCCCTGAGCTCCCCGAACAGAGCTGCAGTAACGAGGACGTACCGTCCTTCTGGGGAACATCCATCCCCGCTTCTCCGGCCTGGCTGGCTGAAAGCAAGTCGCAGCCGCGTCCTCCTTCCACGGCGAGAGCTGTCAGAAGTCACTGCGGGGAGGAGGGGGCCGCAAGGTGAGCAGGTGTCGGCGCCCAGGCCCCGGGTCCCTCCAGCTCCAGGGGCGCCCGGCCGCGTCGAGCCGCTGCAGCACCACCGGGCAGAGG